TAGGACTGGCTCGTCGTCTTGTGTTGCCTGGGGCGTTTCGTCTGAAACTCGGAGGGGGACGAGGTACCGATGATTACAGCTACCAATCCCGCGTTTTCGCCCGTCTGGGGCCTCCTTGGTGGCCTTCGTCGCCACCGCTGGGTTCGCCTCGAGATTCTGGTCAGAACGCACCTCGGGAGGCCCCCGGGAAGTAGCATGATCGGTATCTTTTCCTTTCCCCAGTTTCTGCGGAAACCTGGCGTTTTTCTGCTGGCGGCCCCCTCTCCATGTGGCTTCGTGCACACGGGGGTGGCGTGAGGGGGCATGCCGTGTGAGAAGGCGCCTTTTTAGTAAGGGTCCGTGTTCCATTGCTACCTCTAGGCCCCTTTACAAAACCTTCAAGCCCTTTCAACCCTTAAACCCTCAAGCCTCCTTGAAACAAATAAAACCCTTAAACCCCTTAGACCCCTTAAACCTTTAAACCCCTTAAACCCCTTAAACCCCTGAGGAAACCTGTCACGCTGACGCGCGCCCTGATGCTTCCGAGGCGATCTTCAGTGCACCCACCGCGTTGTCTTCCATTGTTACCTCTAGGCCCCTCTGCGAGGGCCCCCTGCCTTCTCAGCAGCTCGACCGCCTTCTTAAGAGACACGCCCCCCGTTCGCCCCCCCCCCCCCCTTGCGACCGCCCTGCTACGGGGCGCCGGCGGTGTGCTGCTCAAGAGTTTATCAAGTTCTCGGCCGCCGGCACACGATGCTGCTGTGGATGCGGTTGGTGGCGGCGAGAGCTTGCACGACCGCGGCGAGAGAAAGGGGCGGGGCACGCACGTGGCCCGAGGATCGCGCCGCAGCGGTGTGCGCACCGGCGAGTCATCGGCGCGGGAGGGATCGCGAGCGGGAGGAGCGCGGGAGCGCGCGCCTGCGGGAGCGCGCGCGGCGGAGGAGGGAGGGGAGGGGAGGGTGCAAGAGGAAGGACGAAGCTTGGCTCATTTCGATTCCTTCGATTTGATTCGATCCGATTTCGATGGATTCTGATTCCGATTCGATTCGACTTGGGATTCCGATTTGGGTTCGGAATTCTTATTGGAGCCATACGAGCCTGCCGATTCCCGCCGATTCGACTTTATTTCCTCTGATCCGATTCATTCCGATTGCCGATCCGACTTGTCGATTCGATTCTGGGTTATCCTGGGAAGAGAGAGGGGAAGCATGGCCATGAACTGCCTGCTCAGGAGGGCGTGGCAGCCCAGTGCGTCTCGTCGGGCCAGGTGGTTTGGCCTCCTCGGTCGTTTTTTTCCCCACCCGACAGGCTGGGGCTGTCAGATTTCAGGAACAGACCCCCCGGCCAACCCCACGCATACCGCGGCCGCCAGACCCCAAGGTGTCCTGAGAGTCCATGAGAATCCCTGGGGCTCCCGCCCCGCACCCTCGACAAGCACGACTGCATACCGCGGCCGCCAGACCCCAAGTTGTCCCGAGAGTCCCCGATAGTCCTTGGGGCTCCCGCCCCGCACCCTCGACAAGCACGACTGCATACCGCGGCCACGACCCCAAGTTGTCCCGAGAGTTCCCGAGTCCCTGGGAGTCCCGCCTCGCGCGTTCGACAAACATGAAATTATCCCGGCAAAGCAACCTAACAGCGATGTGTATAAGCATATATGGAAGCATTCCCCTTAAGATTCAGGTGAGAATCCAGTTGAATTCTGTTGTTCTCGCAGTCGCAGTCGCATTCGCAATGACAGTCGCAGTGGCAACGGCCTTAGGATCCAATGGAATCCTAAGGATTCCTAAGGATTCCTGAGGATGCTCAACTATGCCTACGGATTCCTAAGGATGCCTACGGATTCCTAAGGATTCCTAGGGATCCCTAAGGATTCCTATGGATTCCTATGGATTCCTGCGGATGCCTCAACCTGCCTCAGTTTCAGCCTCAGCCTCAGCCTGCCTCGGCTTGCCTCAGCCTCAGCCTCAGCCTGCCTCGGCCTCAGCCTCAGCCTGCCTCAGCCTCGGCCTCAGCCTGCCTCGGCCTCAGCCTGCGTCAGCCTCAGCCTCAGCCTCAGCCTGCCTCAGCCTCAGCCTCAGCCTCAGCCTGCCTCGGCTTGCCTCAGCCTCAGCCTCAGCCTGCCTCGGCCTCAGCCTGCCTCGGCCTCAGCCTGCCTCAGCCTCCCCCCCCTCCCCCCCCCCATTCAGCCTCACCTTGTCTCAGCTTCGGCCTGCCTCGGCCTCATCCTCAGCCTCAGCCTCAGTCTCAGCCTCAGCCTGTCTCGGCCTGAGCCTGCCTCGGCCTCAGCCTCAGCCTCAGCCTCAGCCTCAGCCTGCCTCAGCCTCAGCCTGCCTCGGGGCCTCAGCCTCAGCCTCAGCCTCAGCCTCAGCCTCAGCCTCAGCCTGCCTCGCCTCAGGCCTTGCCTCTTGCCTCGGCCTCAGCCTCAGCCTGCCTCGGCCTCAGCCTCAGCCTCAGCCTGCATCAGCCTCAGCCTCAGCCTGCCTCAGCCTCAGCCTCAGCCTGCCTCGGCCTCAGCCTGCGTCAGCCTCAGCCTCAGCCTGCCTCAGCCTCAGCCTGCCTCAGGCTCAGCCTCAGCCTGCCTCGGCGTGCCTCAGCCTCAGCCTCAGCCTGCCTCGGCCTCAGCCTGCCTCGGCCTCAGCCTGCTTTAGCTCGTGCATGCAAAATCTGGCACAGGACTGGTGTTCTGGAAACGCGAAGATCACGAAGTGGCCCACAGTTGGCTCCGGGCATTCAAAATTTGGTGCAGGAATGGTGCTCTGGGAACACGAAGAACACGAAGTGGCCTACAGTTGGCTCCAGGCATTCAACATTAGCCTGGGTATAGTGTTCTGGGAACACGAAGATCACGAAGTGGTCTACAGTTGGCTCCGGGCGTTCAAAATGTGGCCTGGGAATGGTGTCTTGGGAACAAGAAGAACACGAAGTGGCCTACAGTTGGCTCCGGGCATTCAAAATGTTGCCTGGGAATGGTGTTCTGGGAGCACGAAGAACACGAAGTGGCCTACAGTTGGCTCTGGGCATTCAAAATGTGGCCTGGGAGCGGTGTTCTGTTGGCTCCGGGGAGTCAAAATGTGGCTTCTGGCAATGAAAATGGAGAGTCCCCGGTTTTCCGCGGCACCCGTCCGGCATCTGCCCAGACCCCCCTGCGGAGTCAGGATGCTTTCTTTTGACCCAACTAGAAACCTATCAGTTGTCGCTGTCGCTGTTAGGTAACAACACAGCAATCTACATCATAACATGACATAGCATAGCATAGCAAAACAATGACAAACACAGCGTAATAAAACAGCATGAAGCACATCATGGTATAACATTGCAGAATATAATTCGTCATGACCGACCATACCATAACACAACTGAGCATACCATGATACTCATTGGCGGAACATGTCATATCATGGTACAGCTCTCAGAACATGTCATAACACACCAGCAGAGCAGAGCGACGAGCACGACAGAGCACAACATGCCACAATAGACTACACCATAACAAAACACGATCCTGCCATACCATGGCAGAACAGCATATGGCAGCAGTATTACAACACAGACCATGGCATAACATCACATAGCATTCCCTATCATAACATGAAAGAATAACACAGCGTGGTAGGCATACCACGGCATAGCCTAACATACCATGACATACCATGACAGACAAATGCACAACATGAAACACTATAACACAACATGGCATCACGTAACAAGCATGACAGAACATACAATAGCAGCTCATGACACACTACAACAGAACATAACATCACACAACATACCATGACATAACCTTGCAGAACATAACATGCCATAACACACCAAACCATAACAGGACCGAACATAACGTCACACACCTTGACGGAACATATCATATCACGACACAGCGTTCAGAGCATGCCATAACACGCCAACATAGCATATAGCGACGAACACGACAGAACACAACACGTCACAATACCATATAACAGAACAGAACGCGGTCATGACATAACAGGAACAGTATCATTACAACTGCACCATGGCATAACATCACAGAACATACCAGATCATATCAGGCACACCACACTAGACATACTATTACATAACAGAACAGAGCATGACAGTTCATGACAACACAGTGCATATCAAGAAAGAACAGAGCACACCATGACGTCACATAGCAAACCAGAGCATAATGTCACACAGCAGAGAACCACATAACATCAGAGAACAAACCAAACCAGAGCACACGATGACATCACAGAACAAACCAAAACCAGGCCAGACTTCCAGTTGTCCCAAGAATCCCCGAGTCATTGCCGCCGCCCCGTTGCTGGCGGCCTCCTCGTCTGCGTCCCTCAGTCTAAGGATGGGAGGGGGAAGAAGGAGGAGGGGAAGGCGGCATGGGGCAGGAGGAGGAGGACAGGGGCCCAAGGTTTCGGTGGGGATCGCTCGAAGGAAATAATGTTGATTTGTTTTGGTTGGGGAGTTCGGCACTGAGGAAGTCTTTACCGGAATACAGTGCAGTACTGGAGAGGAGGGAGTGAGGAAGAGGGGAGTGCAGGTGGGAGAGAGGGAGGGAAGAGGAGGGAGGGAAGGGGGGGGAGGGAGGGAGGGAAGGAGGAGGGGAGAGGATGAGGACGGGATGGAGGGAGGAGTGCCAACGCGACAGGAGTGCCGGCACGGGCACCGCAGGGAGGGGCCCGGGAGGCCGATTGCCGGGGGAGCCGACGTTGTCTCGACTGCTGGCTCGGCGGACGGGTGGGGACATCAGAGGCGATCACAAGCATGGATCAAGGGGGCGTGGATTGGCGACGGGTCCCGTTTCCATGATGGGAAACCGCGGATTTCCGCCGCCGAGCGAGGCGGCACCGGCCGCATTTTGGGGAGGGCACCTCCCCCGAGCCATGGATTCGGCGACCGCGCGCCAAATCCATGGATCGCTGATCCATGTTTGCGCGCCCCCGAGGGCAGGGAGAAGCGCGGAGGGGCGAACGCTGCTGCACGGTGTGCAGCTGGCTCCGAGCCCGCTGCTGGGGGGGCCT